ACAGAGTTAGGACTTGAAATGGAGATTCAGTGGGAGTAATTCAGGCAAGTACTTCTGAACCAGTTATTTTAGGGAACTTGGACTCTCAGGTAGATTGACATGCATGATAAACTGTCCTGGGGACACAGGTCAACAATGCCACTTTGCAGTCTTAGATTCTTAGTTAAGACTTCAACTCATTTTGAAGCCTTTCTTTAAATCTAGAAAATGAAAATAATATTTTGACCTAGACTATGGGATTGAAGAATGAAGTGGGAAAAAAACAGTATTAGGTACTTAGCACTGTGACAGCAGACTGAATATTAGCTATTAAACTATGATTACTTATACTTATTTTACATACAAAAATGGAGTCTTGGCAAAGCTTATCAACTCACTTGTGGCCAGAAGTGATTTTGACTTAAAATGAAATATTTGGGGGACACAGTTCACCAGTTGTGGTTGTGAATAAAAGCTTAAGTACATGCCACTTTCACTTGAATGCTCCTTCCTGGAGGATATTCTTCCAGGTTATTAAGGGGATTCAAACTCACCAAACTCTGGGTCCTAGACTCAAAAGCAAAGTTTACATACTTACTTTAGCTCCCAAATTCTGGACTGTCATGTTTTCCACAATTTTCTCAATGTTGACAAGTTGTGTAGCTACAGATGGGAGTTTTCTAAATAAAAGAATCAAAGGAATTTGTAGAATGGATTAATTTCTCCCAAACTCTCCATTCTTTCTGTCACTTCTTTACTCAGTTAAAACCAAGTTGCCTGAAACTACTTCTTAACTCCTTAGCATTTCATCAACCCTTCAGTTCTCATCTTTGTCTTATGGTTCCCTAAACTTAATATTTCAAATTAAATAATATTATGCTTCTCATTGTTCCATATCACTCCTTTCCTGTGCTTATTTGACTTCTCTCTCCTAGGATTTTTTTTTCATATTTCTATCATGTTTTTGGGACCATTCATCTGACTTTCTCCAGAAAACTCTTCCTGGCTTAGTCCGTGTTCTCCTTTTCCACATACATTCTCATTTCTTGACTATCTCTTGCTCCAACAGGTCAATGGCCAGTGCCCCTCACTCTTACATGGTGGGGGGGGGCAGTTCTGTCTAATGCTCAGGCTGACAGTTCATTAATTCTATTAAAAGCCAATTTATATAAATATTGATCTATTCTTCCCACAAAGTAAGACTTGCTTTTCTCAATAAATAAAAATAATGCAGGCACCATTGTGAGTGTCTTCTTAGGGGCGGAGGCCTGGGAGTTCAGGATGTCCCTCTCTGGCCTGGTTCTCACTTATGTCTAAACATGGCAGGAGGCCAGAAAGACTTCCACACCCATATCTTGTTCAGAACAGTGTGTATTCAAGGGGGGAATCAAAACATAAACTTCATGAATGAAAAGGGCAGGGTAGAACACAGATTAGCAATAATCACTAGATTCAGAGTTTATTATAAATATGGGTCGAAATTAAAAAGAACTCTCTAGGCTGAAGTGATAGTACAATGGGTAGGACATTTGTCTTGCACATGGCCAACCGAGGTTTAATTCCCAGCATCCCATATGATACCCCTAGCACTGCAGAAAGTAACTTCTGAGTGCAGAGCTAGAAGTAACCACTTAGCATCGCTGGGTGTGGCCCCCAAACAAAAGTAATTAAACAAATATGAATGGAGTCAGGAGATAGTAAAGCATAAGTTTTTCACATAGAATCTGTGACAAAAAAAACCCAGAAACAAACAAACAAAAAAACAAAAATAAATAAATAAAAACAAATCTTGCAGCTGAGGAGTTGGTGCAGCTTTGTATGCTGGAGCTTTGGGTCTGATCTCCAGCACCATCTGGTTCCCAGAGCATTGCTGAGTGTGGACCCCAAACCAAATAAGTACATGAAAGTAAATAAAGACTAAATAAACTTCACAGAAGGGGATTGTGAAAATGAGAGACAGTATACATTTAGAAGAAAATACTACAATTCTTGCCGATTAAAGGGCAGATTTCTGAGAGTTCCTCTGAAAAGTCAGTATCAGAACCTAATGTCTGTGAAATCCTTGCTTTAGTGGGAGTTGAGAGCAGGAGAAGTTCTTGCGCCTTTCTCTGAGAAGGAAAATTCTACAGAGAGTGGCTGATAATGGGCGAGGCGTATGGGTGCCAAGCAGATTACATGCCTCAGTTCAGTTCTTTGGCAAGGATTTGGTAAGTGATCTGAATTTCCTTAAGACTATTATATACCAGGAGGGATGGAGAGGTAGTACAGGAGTTGGCCTTGCATCTAGCCAACCCCAGTTTGATTTCATATAGGGTCCACCAAGCACCTCCAGGTGTGGTGCTTGACCACAGAAGCAGGAATAAGCTCTAAGAACTGCTGGATGTAGCCCCCAAGGAGAACCCCCCAATTCATATGCCTTGAAATATAATACTGTCTATACTTTTTCAGTAAGGAAATAACTTTATTTTTGGAAAAACTTTGTGGTCTGAAAGGCTCAAGATAATTGATACTAGTAAAAAAAATCATAAATTACTTAGATGTCAACCAGTAGTTAAGGATCCAGCTTTCTTTTCCCTCTGTATTATATAATAGATTTTTCACATCCTTGAAATTATTACATTATGTATTACTATAGGTAAAGGTAAAGGCCCTCCCGTTGATCGTCGATTTGCTCGAGCGGGCCCAGTAACGTCTCTATTGGAGACTTTGTTGTTACTGTGTCTGGCATATCGGATACTCTCGGTAGCTTGCCGGGCTCTCCGAGAGGGGCAGAGGAATCGAACTCGGGTCGGCCATATTGGCCGCTTGTAAGGCGAACGCCCTACCCGCTGTGCTATCGCTCCATTATATGATAATATTGTAAACTATCACATCACTATTATATAATATTATGAGACTATTTTTCAGTTCAAGTCTCGGTCGGTCATACAATGATCAAACACCCTTCCCTTCACCAGTGCACATTTTCCACCACCAAGAACCCCAGTAAACCTCCCCTCCCACCCATGTCCCAGCAGTGTGGCAGATTTCCATTTTACTCTCTCTCTTCACGTTGATCACATTCAATATTACGACAAAAGACCCAACATTGTTATTTGGAATTTCCCCCAACATTCAGACCGGCCACAAATACATCATTAGAAAATTTGTTTTCTATTGCTGATTATGAAGAGCATAATAATGTCGTGTGGCCACAATAGTGGCCACGTGAATTTGGATTTCTGATATTTTAGTAATAAACGTAGAGGGATTACTGCCAGAAGCCCCTGGATTCCGAGATTGGTATGTGTGCCTCTGGGATCATGGTGGGTCAGAAGCCAGAGGAGGCGTTTGAGGATGGCAACCCAGAGCATTGTCATGGTGGGGAGTAGGGCCCATTCCACCCCCATACCATCCTCACGTGCCTCGTCAATGAAGTCTCATATCTAGCTGTTCATTAGGAACTAAAAGATGCAGGCCAACATGTCGTCACCGCAAAGGGGGACAGGTGGAGGGACAGACACACTTCCCCTCCCAGGGAAGCATAGCACCATAGTTAAATACATAGTCCAGATGTACTTTGGTTGGGCATTATCTTTTGCTCAGATTTTCCCACCACCACTCAAGCTGATTTTCAGGGACAAATGCTAGATCATTTACTTTCCATTGATCACTTTGCATATCAGGAAATGTTGTGTGGCTGCATAAGTGGCCACATGGTTCGGAAAATAGTGTGATGAGACAATTTTTAAATGATAAAAGTTTCTATGTTACTTGCATATCCCCATGCCCACAAAAGGCTGATTTTGTTGGATATATTTTAGGTGGTCTCACTCAGAACCTCCTCAGAGTCAACTGGAACATAGAGAGAAAAAGGTGGACAACTCACAAGGCATCAGAGTGGATCTCCACAGACTCGGGCAGGAATCTGCAGTTCTCAAGGCCAATTTGGTATTTGCCATTCAAATCCTTCTTCAAATAAACACGAACGCTCATATTTCCTCGCACAGTAAATTTGTGGCTAGGCACACCTGGCAACCTGTGGAAAGCAGGAGTCTGGGCTGGTGAGAAAGAACATTCTTACTAAGACTTTCTAGTATGTGCGAAGGTCCTCCACATCTGCGAAGGACTCATAAAATCACCCTGTTCAAAGCATTTTCTCCAACTAGAAGGGACTTGAGGATAATGAGGGAGGATCTTGGGGGGACTTTGGTGGTGGGGAAGTTGCAGTGACTCTGAATGTCCAAACCATAAATGTATTATAGCCAGGTTATACCAACTACAAGAAAAAGTAAACCAATGAAAACATTTTAATGGTCACTGCTGCATGTTTCCAAAGAGGTGACTCCAGACTGGGGAATGATGGTTGTTTTGCTTGAGTCCTGCTGCCGACTGTGGCTCAGCCAGGTAAGTGGCACTCAGGGCATGGACTGACACCCACAGACAGGCTGGTTGCAAGTAACACGCTCTTATCAAAGTGGATAAGCCACAACCTTGAATGGCGTTTCTGTTCATGCTGGTTATCAAATAACCTCAAATAACCTTGGGAAGTTTCTTCCTTAAGGATCATCGGGGCCAGGCTTGAAATGGATATGAAGGAAGTAGATGAGCAAGTTTCAGGAAGGGGGTGGGGGCTCCCAGGTCTTGAGGACCCCTGTCCTCTGAACATAAACAAAGCCCACCCCACCAGGGCCCCATCTCTAAGGCAGTGGCAGACAATAATGCCATGGAGGGTTGGGGGTCCAAAGCAGAATCTATGCTCCTGTCTTAGGTCACAATCCTTCAGAACTGAAGGGACTCTCGTGACCTCCAAATAAATAAGGGTGGGAACCTGAGGGATGAAGAGGGAAGGGAAACCTGCTCCATTCCCCTGCTTGCCTGGGCCTGCAAGCATTCTAGAGGCTTCCGAGAGGGGAAGGTGTGTGCTTCACACACACACACATACACACACACACACATGCATGCATGCATACACACACAGACTATTGGACCATTGGTGCCAAAGAGACCAGAGTTGTGTGCTGGTGGCAGCTGTAACTCACTTCACTTCCACAGAAAATTCCAACGGTATGGATACTTCAGCATCTTTGCTATCAGGATTGTTCTTGAAAGAGACGGAAAGGAGCCGAGGGTCTATCAGTTTTACCCTGGGTGGAGAAATAGCATATAAAGGAAGGTCATGGCTTCCATCCAGGTGGACCCTGCTTTGTGTAAAGGCAGTTCCCTTGCACTAACTGCATGCTCATTAATCATGTCATTCCTTGCGTGCTATCATGTTATAAGCACTGACAATACAGCCCTAAGCCAAAGGAAGCTCTTGCACACATGCATCTCACCAAGCAGGTTGAAATAAGAGAATGAATCATAAGTGAAAGCTTGCAATCTTATATAGCATGCCTTGGGGGAGTTTAGTGCTTATATGTCAAACAATAAGCCAACACAAGCTTAGCAAGTGTGCAGGCGGTGGGCACGGTGAAGCCTGGGCCCTGCAGAACCTTATGGAAACAGGACTGGGGAAGAATGGACAGTGAAATGAGAAAAAGAAAGGGCATTTAGAAAGGCTTCTCATGGGAGCTGGCATTTTGACAAAGTCATTGGTGTTTTTCCTGATCAATCATGAGGCCAGTCAGGGCTAGACAGAAGCCAGAGCAAGAATGAAGGCCCCAGGGGCTGAAACGTAGCTGAAAGTTTGCAGGATGGTGACAGGTGCAGTGCGGCTGGTAGGCAGAGGGGTTTGTGGTGGGAAGAGGTGGTAGGAGGTGAGAGGGTAGGCAGGGCCACTCTACATGGGGTCTTGGAGGCCAGGGATGAGGACAAGACTTGTGAAGCTTTAGGTAAGGGTGCTCTAGAGTCTGTTCCTTCTGGGTTGACTGTGAGTCAGAGCAACGAAGCAGAGAGAAGCTCAGGTGCTTGGGTATGTCTGGGAGGATGCTGACTGTGGGTGTGGCAGGGATAGGGGAGCCAAGGGAAAGATTGGGGGGTCAGAAAAGCTGGACAAGGGCAGAGGGCATTGGTTGGGGTCATGTGGGGGCTGGCTGGAAGAGGAGCAGGAAGGGATCTGAATGTTGTTGTTCTGATTATTATGATGACATCTCCCACCCAGTAAGGTAATGGTTGCTATTGTGACTATCCACTAGGGGTTCATGAAGGAGAGGGCTGTGCTGTGCAAGCATTTCTGCATTTAATTTCCTTCACCGCCACACCCTCCTGTAGTGGCTGAGCTCACGGGGGAAAGTTGGAGATGGAGAGAGGGAGAAAACTGTTGTGTTCTGATCAATGAGAAGCAACCCTCCTCCTCCCACCTCTTCCTGCCTTGGCATCCCTCCAAATGGGACATTTCTCCCAGCCAGAGGCTCTCAGGCCATCCAACCGAGATAAAGGGTGATTGCCGAGAAGGAGCCGGTACAGAGCCAGGAAACATGGGAAAGCAAAGCCAAACCAGAACAAGCAAGACTTTGGGCATGGTTATCGGGGATCACTCACCTGATGCCACTATTTCCCAACTTGCCCAGGAGGCCAGAGACAGAGCCCAGGACTTTTGACAGTTGTCCCTGGAGGTCAAATGTCTGGATGCCGGAAAGAAGGCCCTCGCCTAGGAGTCCCTGGGTCAAATCTGAAAAACAGGTCCCCCCACCTCACAATCCCAACAGATACTGTGTCTAAGACACAAACAATCTCTGAGCCATAGACCATGTGAGGTTCTTCATTCATTTCATCTTTCTGGACTGGCCAGTGTTGGACCAAGTTTCAGATACAAATATTCAGTAAATACTTCTAAGGACCTAGAGTTCAAGGCCTTGCCAGGAGATGGGGTTCTGCCAGTGAGAAGAGGCAGCACTGACAGCAGGGAGTTTGAGAGGCGAGAAGTACTGAGATGCAACGAGAGGCATGCAGGAGCCAGGGCAGGGTAGTATGTGGAGTTTCCTAATATTGGGGCATGAGTACTGAGAAGTTAGGAAGGGTATGTGCCATAGTGCCACACCCCAGTGTCTGGGATGTCGAGCATAATTTCTGGTTACTCTGTAGATTTGGGACGGTGGGAGGCTAGAGGCCAGGAGGTGATTCCAGGGTGATTTGAGTGATGAGGGGGTACTACCTAGTGAGTCTTTGAGTAGAAGCTATTTCATGAGGTTGACAAAAATCATTTTAATATTTTAACCATTGGAGTCATACTGGTGCCTTCTGCTGAATATTCTTTCCACATATGAAGGAGAAAGAAAAGATGGGAACATGGAGGTGGCTTGGTAGTAAAAAACACATTCCTTGCACACAAGAGACCTTGCACACCAACCCAGCACCACAATTAAGGAAGGGTAGGATAGGAGAGGGTGTGAGAGAGGAGAAAAGGAGAGGAAGGGAGTGAAGAGAAGGGGAGGGGAGAGGAGGGGGAGGAATTGAGAGTGCTGAGTGAGGGGAATAAAATATGCAAAGGGGCTGGAGAGGTAGTACATCATGTCTCGGCACACTTGCTTTGCATGCAGCAGACCTTGATTCAATCCCCAGCACACATAGGGTCCCCCAAGCACTGTTAGGAGTGATCCCGGAACACAGAGCCAGGAATAAGTTGCAAGATGTGATCCAAAAACAAACAAAATACATATACAATAGCTCACAACAAACAAATTCAATAGGTCACAGAAGGCATTTCTGTAAAATGTGATTTTTTAAGCAGAAATCTGAAGGAAAGGAGAGAGCAGTGTGGATGGATGGATGGATAAAGGAAGGGTGTACCAGGCAGCAGGGATAGTGTGTGAATGATCCCAGGATGTATTTAATGCTTTGAGGTAACTCTGCAGAATGTGGGTGCAGGGTAGTAGTAGAGGTGGGCAATGGCCTGTCTAAGTAAAAATTACCTGTCATAGGTGGGTCTTGGTAGATGAATTAAGGTAAGAAGACTGGGAAAAATACCTTTAAAAAATTTTTTTGTGTAGGGGCAGGAGTGTCACGCATAGCAGAGCTCAGGGATTATTGCTGGCTCTACACTCAGAGATCACTCCTGGAAGGCTCAGGGGACAATATGGGGTTCCAGAGATCAAACCTAGGTCAGTTGCATTCAAAGAAAATGCCCTACCCACTGTACTATTGCTTTGGCCCCTGGAGAAAAGAACTCTCAAGGGGATTATACATAGAAATGGAGGGATGTATTAGAAGAGCTCACAGTGAATGGTGTTAGCTCTGCCCAGGTTCTGTGATAGTAATAACATAGCCAACACTGGCTCAGGACCTGGACTTTAGACAAGGGTCATGAGTTGGGCAAAGGAGAATCTCACCATCAAGGAACTGGGCCGACACACCGGACTGGTGGTATTGAGCAGAGGTAGAGGCGAGAAGCCCACAGAGGAGAGCGATGAGGGCAGAGACCTTCAGCATCCTGGCAGGTACCTGCAGGGAAATGGAGTAGAGGTGTGAGGATGAAATTGATGCCAAGACAGGCCACAGCTAATGCTAAGTTTTGACTAGGCCTAAGTTTCTGTTTCCCAGAAACTGAACTTGCAATTGGTTCAGTTTACTCAATTGGTAAACTCCCAGTTGAGTTTACCTGCCCAAAGAAGGAACTGCTAGATCATCTGACTGCTTATGAGGGGTCATTATGTCCATTTTTTGGAACAACCACAAACTGGCTGTTACTATGTCCATTTTTTTGGAACAACCACAAACTCACTGTTATCAAATGTTGACTAATTGCTGACAACTGTTGCTTGATCACTATTATTATAGTGCTTGCTCAACCTTGAAACCTATATAAATTGCTTATGACTTGGAGTCAGGGTCCTTGTCAAGACCCCACTGCATTGGATGGAACCTGGACCCAAGCTCGAGCTAGAAATAAAGTTCCTTTGCTTTTGCATTATCGTGTGTGGAACTGATCACTCTGCAGCTGGGGATCTGAAATTCGACATAACAGAGGGCATCGTTCACTGATAGGTCCCGCATTTCAGGTGTGCTAGAACTAAGAGGACTCATTTGACAGCTAAGGTCATTGTCATTCAAGAAGACACACCTTCCGTCTTACTCTAGAGCAAAAGACAGTTTCCAAGCGAGAAAGTCATCTTTCTGGCCCTTGTAGCAGCCAGGATGATATGAAACTGACAGGTAAATTATGATTAGGCACAGTTAACATTCAGGGAGTTGATGCCCAATTCCAGTTTTCAGTTCCACATGGAACAACCTATTTGATTTAGTATTTTCATTTAATTGGACTTTTAGGCAAATAGGAAAATTGAGGGTGGAAAAAACTACAAATTAAAAGTAAAAAGAAAATACAAATGATTCTCAGAAAATACAAATAACTTTAGCTGTATTTCCTTCTGAAAATTTTCCTTTGCACATATACACACCACATGCATTCATGGGACATTATAAAATGCCTGGTTTTCCTTCCATGTTCCTATAGAATCACTTATTCCAACAGTGATTGATGCATTATAACTATCTCCCTGCTTCCTTTTTGTAGAATATTCTAGCATTTGGATTGACCAGTGTTTATTCTATCTGTCTCTTCGTTTTGACCATTTTTGTTATTTTTCAGCTTCATATTATCATTCCAAACAGCACTGGGGTAAAAATATGTGGATATTTTTCTTCACTCATCTCCCACATTATGTCCCATAAACAGTATTCTGGAAAAAACCAACCTTAAAATTGTTTTGCAAACATGCATTTCCTGTGTTCAAGTTGCTCACCTACCCTAAAATGAATGGTCACCAAGTGCCAACAGGATCTGAGTTCAAATTTCAAGTGCAGGGTTCTGGCTTCAGTTCTGACAGTTCTCAGACCAAACCTCCAACCAAAAGTAACTTTAAAGATGGACATAGATAAAATAATAATTGAGAACCTTTTATTTTATCCATAGAAAGAAAAGTACCTTTCAAGAACAAATCCATTTTCACCCAAATTTTTGCCTGAGGTCACTTTTCCATTTACTGTAGAGAGAATACAAAGTCCAGGCAAAAAGGACCATTAGACATAACTTAGAACTCGGGGCCACTAAAGTCTGGGGAATTGAAAGATAAAATCCTCTAAGGAGGGTGCTCCCAGGGAAGAAGCCTCAAAATTGGCATGCAGACATTCCTCAACTCAGTTTAACTACTCTTAGTTCATGTGTGCAGTGTAAAATTTCCAGTGCTGTGACTCATAGTAATAAATGAATTGCTTGTCTCCATTTCTGTCACAGAACTCCTAAATGTATGGCATCTCCTAAGCGATAAATGTTTTTATTTTCTTATGTTAACATGGTGATTTTTGGAAAGCACCTTAGGATGATCTCTTTGACTAAGAAATAAAAAATGCAATTAGAGAGCTGAGATTTTCAATCCCACCCCTGAATCCTCAGTTTTGGCAAAGGGAGAAAGAGCTGCAGTTTGAATCAGATCGCCAATGCCTCATGATTTAATAATCATGCCAGTATCATAAAGTCTCCATAAAAACCCAAAGAAAATGGCTTCAAAGAACTTCCAGATTGACGGCCTTTGGGGCAAGTGGTGCACCCAAGGGAGCACCTGAAAGCTCATCTCTTCCTCACATATTTTGTCCATAGCATTTCTTCATCTCTCTGCTCCTGAGTCTTCTCCTTTTATAATAAGCCACTGATCTGGTACATGAAATGTTTCTCTGACTTCTGTTGGGTTACCATAGCAAAGTCATCAAACCCAAGAAAGGGGATTAGTAGGGGGCTCTTACTTCTATTCAGCTGCTTAGAGGCAAAGGTTGCTAGACTCACAGTTGGCAGAAGAGGAAGCAGTCTTGGGAGATTGACCCTTAGCCTGTGAAATCTGAGAGCTTTTCTAGGAAGTGTCAGAATTGGGTTAAATTGCAGGACACCAGTTAGCATCAGAAAATTGATGTGTGTGTGTGTGTGTGTGTGTTTGTGTGTGTGTTGGTAGAAAGAGGTTAGGGGTGGGGTGGCAATGCTACACATTATAGTTGATGTCAAATTTGTTAGGTTAACAGGGTCAGAGATGTAGATTGTTGTGAGCCTCTGAATTTGAGCCTCACAATGGTACCGTTTTTTTTTTTTAAAAAAAACTTATGTTCTAAGTTATTTGGCAGATGGTAGTTTCAAAGCTGGGCAAAGATTCTTCACTTTACTGTGTAATGCTGTGAGATATTGGTTGGCATTCAAGCAATGGAGGATCTTTGCAGATACTTCAAGCTTTCAATTAATACTCAAAAGACTCTCCTCCAAGGGAAAAGTCTATGCCCTAGAAATAGTCACCCTGAGTGGTAAGAGCAAAACTATAGTAGTTCCATCCTCATGAAGTACAAGTATGTCATGACATAATAAAACCACTCCACTTATAACAGAATGAAACCACTCCACTCCATAACAGAATGAAACCGCTCCACTCAAATCACTTGATCTTTCTCTTTGGAAAAAGAGAGTAACTCTCAGAGCCTTTACAATATTTCATCATTTTGTCTAATAGTCAAAAAAATTTTCAAGACAGATTTTCTGAAAAATAAAAGGACCAGTAGATTAAAAACCAATAAATTAAAATATAGAATATAGACTAGATTCATAAGTGATTTAAAAATTCAAATACTCAGTAATCAGCAGAGTGATCAGCCCACAGCAGATGAGAAGCAGGCTGACCACCCTGTTCACAGAAGTCTGAGACGTTGTTTTGGATACAGTACCTGTGGGAATCCATTTCTGGGCCACTCTGAGAAATTATCTATGGAGCAAATGGTGGGGGTTCCCCCCCATGGGTGTAACAGTGGAGGGACCAAAGGATTTACCTTGTCTTATTTCCGCCCAGTACAATACCTGTTATTTCCACCCAGTACAACACCTGTTCCACCCAGTACACTATCTGATGAGGAATTGGGACTCAGAGGAAGGTCATGCACGTCCTGGGATCACTCCTAGTTAGTGGATAGGGCCTGAGTCTCATAGCTTTTACCTGCGTATGCCCTACCACAAACCTACTCAAAAGAATTACTATGAGAATTCAACAAACATTTCAAACATTGTTGAGGTCAGGACCTAAGTTAACTTCTAATTAGTGTTTCAGGTTAGTGTTTCTTCTCTTTGCCTTCCTTGGTCCTAAAATGTTCTTTAGAAGACACAGACTAACAGAGCCCGCCAGACGACAGGGTGACCAAGGGACTCTGGGTGCACAGTGCTGGGTCTATACTAAATCTCAGCCACGGTCCTGCCTCAGGCCATAAATATTGTTACACCTGTTTTAAAAACCAGGAAATGGAAAGTTGGGGACGTAAAAGTGTGTATTCTTCCCTCTCTATTTATAGATAACTTTCAGTTTTAAGGGCAGATGTGGTTTATTTCCAAACCTTCTTTGCTCTCTGGGATAATTAGTAAGACAAAAATGGAAGTTGTTGGCTCGTGTTTCTGAAAGAGTGGACTGATCCAGCTTTTTTTCCCTATTGTGCTCCTTTCTGATTGATTAACAGATCACTGGCTAAAATTCTGCAGCTATTTTTTTTTTATAAAAGTCACAACCTCTGGGGTTACAGAGGGAAGAACTGGTTGGATCCAGCTCACCAGTTTAATAGCTTATCCCCAGAACTTCATCATTAGTTAAGTCACTGTTATTCATGCTCTGTGATAAAATTGAGGCCTCATTTGCAGCTGGTAAAATTTATCAAATATTTTAGTCTGGTTTCCTTCTTGGAAGAAAAGGCAGATTGGAGAGATTGCATTGTGCTCACCTGAGTTTCTCCCATGCACTGCAGAGATGACCCAGGTCGGTGTTGTCAGTTTTTAATGTGTTCTGCTATTGGTAGCTTCTATAAGTAGTGGGTGACCCCCATTACTGGGGAGGACGTGGCAATGGGTGATAGACAACTGGGAAAGCGATGAGAAGCCCTCTATTTCACCATGTCCATCACCACGTTCTTCTCCACTTCCAAAGCAAACACTCCTGCATGGAAGGCCCCAAGGGATTAAGGCAGTAGAGACTCACTTATACTATTTGAAGGATGAATCACTAACCTGTTTCAAACTGTACATCAGGGATATGAACAAACGGGGAGATGTAGAGAATGTGGAGCACTGAGAAGGGAGATTGTGTTCTTGAGTCTCTCATTCACCTCCCAGGCCTGCCAAGTGATTTTCTTGAGTAAGGCAGGAGGCGGATGGGGATCCAGGATTCTGACACAGACCACTGAGGAGGAAATGTGGGGGTGAGTGCAGAGAGATGGGACAGCAGGTAGAGCTCTTGCCTGGCACATACCCTACCCAACTTTGATCCTTGAGCTCCAAAAGCAAACGAACAAATGAGACCCACGGGTTTCCTTTGCTGCACTTAAATTTGCCAATAGGAGTTCAGAATGTAATTAATGCAGAACTAAATTACTAATTTTTTTAGACACCACCACCACATATTCAGTCCCAAACACAAAATGAACAACTAGAAATTGTTATAAAATAGTGCCAATTACTGAGGTTACAGGTAAACCATCCCAAATCCTTTTTACAATCCTTGGAATGTCAGCTCAGGATATACATCTCAGCTGTAATTTTTCTATATGCTTCTTCTCCCTTTTCCTGTCTTCTTTGTAGCTGTCTCTCTGTTTCACTGGGTTTATCCCTTGTCCAAGTGCCCTTCCAAAAGTATGTACATTCGTCCTTTTTTTATAGGCCTTCTCCTTCCTATTTTCCTGGGGACACCACAAATCATCCTATATCCTATAAGTAGTAGGTGGTGATTGGTCTACCAGAATGGTGATTGGTCTCTGGTTTTTTCTCCCTCCCATCAAAAACGCCCAAGGCAATGCCCACCAACTGGCTCAGACCAATAGCTCTTTCTTCCTTGTGCACAGTATCTTGTTTTATAAAATGTTAACTTTAGCATTCTGACATTTTCTGGGACTTCTGGATACATATCTTCATAAGTTCTGTATGTCTGATCAATCCTTTCCAGACATTCTGAGGGCTCCTCTGTAGTTTTTCTGACGAAGTTCATGTATCTAATTTAAACTCCTCTGTTTGGGCACCCTTTCCTGAAGTCTTTGTAAATACTCCTCTCATACACTCCGAAATTTAATTACCTCATCATTGAGGTCCCAGTTTGGGTCTAACAGATGACAGTTCCTTTAAGGTCAGGTGTCCCTCGGGGAATCTTCTTAATGAGAGTGTCATGATTTCTCATTGTCTTTCCTGATTGCCCTCTTTCATCAGCTGTCAGTTAAAATGTAAAATAAGGCCTGAACAGCACCCTTGTGGGGAAAGGGTAGCAAATATTTAACTAAATAAAATCAGTTGGGGAGAAGTTTATTTCCATGTAGAAGATTTGAATTTTACTAATTTAATTCATTGGAAGCAGAAAATAATCTGTAGGATCAACAATATACAACCTATTATCTTTGATCTTTTAATCCATTAATTCATGGAGAATTGCCATAATGGATATTTCCCTATCCAGTGTTCCCTGGATACCCAAATTGATTACCCCACTGGGTTCAAAAAGGACGATTGCCATAATGGATATTTCCCTATCCAGTGTTCCCTGGATTCCCAAATTGATTACCCCACTGGGTTCAAAAAGGACGATTTCAAATACACCCTTCATTTTGCATGGGAAGCCTATCACCATGGCCAGATTGGTAGTGTCGTCACCTGAGGTTCAGGAGACAAGGCAGGGACATCATAAGGTTTAAATAATTCATGATACTCCTTTTCTTTTCTTTATCCTACTTTTAGTATCTTTTCTGTCCCCTCTGTGTCATCAACACGGACCCTTTCTGATAGAAATATTTGTATATCAGATCACACAGATCACAGATCATCCTGTTATTCATCAATTGCCTTGAGCAGGCCCCAGTAACGTCTCCTTCATCCTAGCCCTGAGATTATATTCAAGGCTCTTTAGGAGAATGAGACCCATCATTGTTACTGGTATTTGGCATATTGGGTACGCCACGGGGAGTTTGCCAGACTCTGCCGTGTAGGCAGGCTACATTCGGTAGCCTGCCAGTTTGTCAAAGTAGGAATGAGATGTCATAATAAGATGCCGTGCGGCCGCGAATGCAGCCGTGCGGTTCTGGGAGCTGGTTTTTATAGTCTCTGAGTCTTGGCCGCTGATGGGATTACACGGTGCCAGGGGGCCAGTTGGTGGGTGTGACCCCCGCCTACTGGAATTTGGAGGATCTGGGTGGAGGATGCTTGACTCCAATCCGTGTAGGCTCGGAAATCTCGGCCCCGGAACCCACGTGGCTTTGTCCCTCTGCTGGTACCTTCAGGTGTGCAGAGAGTGGTCTCAGCATGGTGGTGGCTGGTCCTGGAGGTCTTCGGCTGCCGGGGCCCTGGTCAGGGCGGGGAGGAATATAATAACTTATAAACTTAAAAATCTGGTATTTCATCCTATTTGTTAGATCCTTGATAAACTGTTTGCAATTATAAGACAGAATAATAATTCAGAGACCCCTTCAGGGGCCATTTCCTCCCATGAAAATATATAGGCTAATTGGTGTTACACCTGAGTATCATTTTCTCATCAGATGTTCATGACTGTATATGATTCACACACACACACACACACACACAGATCCACTATAATTACCAATTACCAAAGAAAAATCAGTGCTTCTAAACACACAGTCTACCACTGAAGCCTTTGGCAGAGGTTTCCAAATCTCTTATATTTCTATCTGCAAATGACCCAAGGGTCACATATGGCAAAGAGCTGAGATTGGAGGATAGGGAGTTTCTGACTGTGCACATCAAGGACTTACCTAATCTTAGATTCCATTCGTTTTCTCAAAACCAAAAGCCAATGTAGCACATAAGGAAGCTGATGCAGAGAGGGAAAGGAAAGAACAGAGAACCTGACACCAATGGATCTTGTTCCCACGACCTAGAAATCTTGGCAACTGCTGAGAATCTCAAAAGCTTACCCTGAGGGGCCAGTGAATCTTGAATTGCCAGTACACACTGGCTGTTGCCACACCTGATAACATAATAGGGTAAGCCCTGACAGCCTGCTGTAGCCAACTGCTGCAAGCTGAGAGGGAACTGAGAGAGCGAAACCACCTGAGGCATACAAATGAGCCTGGCTGGTTCTCCAAAGCTATTACCAAATCCAAGGGCTGCTACTCACAGCTATAAGGTCAAGACTCAAGAGACAGGTGTTGGTGATTAATATATATATGTATGTATGTATATATATATATATGTATATACTGGTGGACTTGTTTTCTCCCAAGCCTTCTTGCTCTCAGCCTGAGTTCTATAAAGGAGTAGTGGAGGAAGGAGACAGATATAAATAAAAGTCATGGGCTGGTGGGAGCTAAGGGGCCCAGCCATGGTATCATGCTGATGGCAGTGATGTCACCAAATAATGGGACATGATAACCTGTTCTTCCTAAGACTCAAGGTAATATTGCTGACAGTGTCAACCTTCAGAGGCTGGACAAAGCCAATAGATTGGACATCTATTATTTGTTCTTCCCTAATCACTTGTGACTAGCTTGTACTAGCAAGGTATTTGTGATTAGCTTCTTCACCACTTGGTCCAGAAACCAAAACCCAGCTCATTTTACTTTTTAGTATTATAATTTGTATTTCAGATTATTCCAAATCATCCATGTTCATAAAGGAATATATTTTAAACATAAGAACTCATTTTAACAGTCTATTTAGAGACAATACCTGCAAACCCTTTGGTTCATTTCCTTCCAGGCTTTGTTCTCTGCAACATATGGATATGTTGTAAGATATGGCTATAGATGTAAAGGCATGGTACTTCAACTACATTCTTTGTGGCAGTTCGCGAGAAGGGACAACTGAGCATCCTATCACTTTAACTCACTTCATTATTTGGGGCAAAGATCAGATACTTGTACTGAATACCAGCCAAAGGGGTCTTGACCTGCTGAACATACATCAGCCATTCTTCAGTGTAGCCTAAATTCACTTCTGTCTACCCATTGTTCCCCTGCCATGTTCTGTCCCTTCCTCCCTCAGATCCTTTGCTCAAATTGTTCCTATGGGCAACTTGAAAGACAGAAAATGCGCCATAAAACTGGAGGCCAGCCACACGTGCTAGGGGAAAAGGGAGCTCAGATAGAGAAGGGAGCACCAAATAAAGGGTGTTGGAAGGATCCTCCCAGGATTGGAGAAGCATGCTGAAAGTAGACTATAGACCAAACATGATTGCCACTCAATGCCTTTTGCAAACCACAACACCCAAAAGGTGAGAGAGAGAACAAAAGGGAATGCCCTGCCACAGAGGCAGGGTGGGATGGAGGGGGATGGGGGGTGGGAGGGATACTAGGATCTGTGGTGGTGGAAAATGGGCACTGGTGGAGGGATGGGTACTTGATCATTGTATAACTGAAACCCAAGCACAAAAATTTGTTAAATCTATAACTGTACCTCATGGTGTTTCACTAATAAAAAAAGAATGAATGAATAAATGCCTGGTGCATTCTTTGAAATCCATGTTCTAGTCTCATCTTTAGACGTTCCTCTGGTAGAAATCACTCTCTCTCTGACTTCGAAGTCAGAGACCTGTTCCCCTGTTCAGCCCGAGGTTTGAGGATTTCAGTTTCCACCCCTGATTTGTCAGTTCTTAGAGGCTCTGTCTAAATTGTGTTGTCTTCCCAGTCGGGTGCTACATGCTCCGCACACTTCATCTTATTTTACCCTTCCCTAAATCAGTGAGGGTGAATGTTATAACTCTCACATTACAGGCAAAGAGGTTGTGCTCCAAGAAGCTGAGGAATTTGCCTTTGCTTCCTTTGAAGAGTCAAGAGCCAGACTCAGGAGGCAAGACCCAGGAACAGCTCTTCACCATGATCTAACTTCATCCTGCACACTTTCTATCTACTGATATGTGTTAGAAACTACTTGGCTTGGGTCATTTGAAAGCATGTTCTCAGAACATGTCTCAGTATGACCACCACTGAGACATAATTACACACCTGTTCATTATAGAATGTGGGCAAGGAAGTCCATAGATGAGAGACTAACAGGCTTGGTGGGAGTAAGGTTGTAAGGGAAACACAATTCCGGGCCTGGAGTACTAAAGAAGTTTTATTTTTAAATGCAAAGTGGTTTCTGTTTTGTTTTGTTTTTAGAGTTTTAGTCTCAAGGAAAAATATGCAGAAAGTTCTCATATAGCCCATACCCCCAAATGCACAGTCTCCATTACTTGCATTCTTTACCAGTGCGGGCCTCATATTGTAATGATAAACCCACCCTCACACTTTATTGTCACTCAAAGTGCACTGTTTGCAGTAGAGTTCCCTCTTGGTATTGTGCATTCTATCAATTTTAACAAATGTCTAGTGACATGTACCCACCATTTCACACACGGGATAGTTTCATTGTCCTGTTGTATTCTGCCAATTCATCCCTACTTCTCCCTCCCAACCTCTGACAAACACTGATTTTTTAATCATCTCTATAGTTGTACCTTTTCCAAAATGTCACATATTTAGAATTAAACTGTAACCTACTCAATGGTGTCTTTCACTCAGGAACATGAATTCAAGCTTCATTCCTGTTCTTCATGATTTGATACGCCATTTCTTTCTAATGCTAAATAATATTCCATTGATTGGACATGTCACATTCTATTTATCCATTCCCCTAATGGAGAACATCTTGGTTGCTTCCAAGTTTGGGCCATTACCAATCAAGTGGTTATAAACATCAACTTGAAGTTTTCTGTGGACATAAGTTTTCAACATAATTGTGTAAATACCAAGGAGATTGATTGCTGGATTGTGTTGGATGACTCTGGAAATTTTTATCCATAAGTACCTTTGTCAGCACAGCTGTTTCCTTCGGTTGCCACGCCTGCAGGTGGAGGGTCAGCTGAAAGGGTGAGTGTCAGTAGTACAGCATGGACAAATGTTGACTTGACCTGCTGGCCTTGGAAGAACTAAAGATAATCCCTTTATTCCCTGTTCTGGAACCAACAGTGAGGTCTTGCTTCTTCCCACAGCCTTACTTTCTTCCCAAAGTGAGGGTGGAAGGTGAAACTTGAACCTCAACCCTGGTTCTGGATCTTCATGTGAGGGGTCAGGGTGGCAACGGTTCAGCACTAGGGACCTTCAAGAATGATGTCAGAGGCTGTCCCTCTTTCATTAACATCCCCTTCCAAAAGATCGCTGCTTTTCTGTCCTCACTCACTCCACTCCTGCCCTGGGTGGCACCTGGACCAGTTAGACCCTTTGTCACCTTTCATTCCCCCCACCCCCGACCTGACACTTGAGCTGCCAGAGGAAACTTCCTGCAACTAAGAGCCAAAGTTACCTCCCCTTGCTCAGAAGCCTTCCATGACTTCCCATGGAGGTTCTCAAAGTGTGGAATGTGGGGGATCATCTTCAAGTCCTTCTCCAGGGGAGGCTCAAGGTTGTTCTAAACACCTTTTCAAGCAACACAAACACATTGTTTGTCTCTACACTCTTATTCCCCTTTTTAAAAAAATTTATTTTATTGAATCACTGTGAGATACAGTTACAAGCTTTCATGTTTGAGTCACAATCATACAATGATCAAACACCCATCCCATCACCAGTGCACATTCCTCACCACCAATCTCCCCAGTATACCCCCCCTTTCCCACCCTCCCTCTGCCTCAATAGCAGACAATTTCCCACATACTCTCTCTCTCTACTTTTGGGCATTATGATTTGCAACACGGGTACTGAGAGGCCATCATTTTGGTCCTTTATGTACTCTCAGCACACATCTCCCATTCTGACCGTTCCTTCCAACCATCATTTTCTTAGTGATCCCTTCTCTATTCCAGCTGCCTTCTCCCCTCACTCATGAGGCAGACTTCAAACTATGGAGCAATCTTCCTGGCCTTTGTACCTACCATCTTGGGTATCAGTCTCATGTTATGTTATTTTATACTCCACAATGAGTGCAGTCCTTCTTATGTCTGTTCCTCTCTTTCTAACTCACTACACTCTTATTCCCTTACAAGGGAGATAGAGGAGAATTTTCTAGATACTAGATGACAAATGGTAGTGTAGCAGATGGAATGTCAAACACTTGTGGGAATCCAGCTGACTTCTACTCAGTCTGCCACTATGCATTTAAAAATATATGCATTTAAAACAGAGCACATGCCTTGTCTATGTGAGGCCAGAACTAAGCGACAAAAAATACAAGGGTCACTCCTCTAACCAACCTTGTTCATAGACTATAGAGTTATTTTTCATAAAAACACATTATTTTTACAAAACTAATTGAGGTCATTGCAGTTATTTTATTATAGTTTAGGTTACACTGTTGTAGCAGCACTTATGCTTTTAGACCTGATATACAAACTTATTGAATCACCACCAAAGATCCCACAACCATCCACTATCCTCTAAAAATTATTATAATTTAAGTTCTATGTTTACAATACTGTTGGCATTTGTGGTTTGGCATAACACTTACCTCACCTCACCACCAGCAAAGTGGCGAAATCCTCCACTGCTGTTTGAAAACTTTCCCAGAGAGGTTTGTTGTTGTTGTTGTTGTTTGTTGAATCACCGTGAGTTACAAAGTTGATCATGGTAAGGTTTCAGTCATACAGTGTTTCAACACCCATTTCTCCACCAGTGTACATCTCCCACCACCAATGTCCCAGTTTCCCTCCCACCACCCTCCCCGCAGTCTCTCTCTATGGCAGGCACTGTTTCCTTCTCTCCCTTTTGGGGCATTATGACTTGCAATCCAGGTACTGAGAGGCGATTATGTTTGTTCCTTTACTATTTTCAGCATGCAGTTCTTATCCAAACTGATCATTTCCCTATCTTTTTCATGGTGGTCACTTCTCTGTCCCAACCA